AAAGCTTTGAGACTTTGCTATATGAAATTATGGTTTGATATTTTGTCCTGGAACGCGGTCACTGCTGAGGTAACTGAAAATAAACTTGATTGACGCCAGAATGCTCCTATTGCTGGCTTTATGAACTACATGAGCTTTTATCCTCAGCAAGTCTCTTGAGGCAACCGCAGTGTTGAAGACTTAGGAAATGCATTGTTACGTGCATCCTCTCGGATCCAAGTCTTTATGAAAGAATGTTTATGAAGGAATGTTTGAGAAACCGGAGAGCTCTTTGTGTTTGCACAACATAAAACGTGGTTCCCTGTCGCGCAGAGAGTCCCAACGGAAGGCCAGCGCTGATGAGGGCAGCGGCATCAAGATTCAGACCGCAAACGACATCGCCGAGGAGTGGAACAAGAAAGCCAAGGAATTCCAGCCAGCTTCAAGGCTTACGGGTGGGCTTAGCTCGTAGTTCGCAACTTTCTTGACTAACCTAACTTTTGATGGGAGGTTAGTGTCGAGATTGGGAGTGAACATGTCCTTTTACTAACCACTACCCGGCATTTTTTCTTCGAGCAACGTTACGCTTTACCACACATTCAGCGTCTAGAATGATGTCTTGTGTTGCGAGAACTATGTTTGCTGAGTTGAGGAGTCGTCTTTGAGGAGTCGTCTTTGAGGAGTTGTATATCTTGATCTTTGATCTCCGACACAGCACTTATGCATGTCAATACTTTTTCCCAAAACGTGACCTACAAGGGCCCAACTATCAATAAAAATACCTGCGGCTCAGAATTGGAGTTTCCTACTCAGAGCTGCCCATGTTCTCTTGTCCTCAGTCACGATTGATGACAACACAGAGCTCGGACTAATTGTTCACTTAAAATCATTAGCAGAAATGACTTTAGTCCTCTGACTTCAGCCTGACTTTGTTTGTCTTTCCCAGCAATTACATGACACCATGGCCAAAAAATAAATTGGTTGGGCCTTAACACTATATACTTAATCGTTTTGCATGAAAAAAACACTTTTTTTTTAAAGGGTGGGTAAGAAACGTCATACAGACTTTGAGAATGTCCACCTACCAATATGTGCAGCTAGTGCTGCAAGTACACTTCTGGGCTGTCGGCACCCCATCCATCTTTCAACGTACACACCGTAATGTACCCAACGAGCGCAAAGCCAAGATTGGAGGCAGCCTCGACAAACCGAAGGAAGGTTGCTTGTTAGATTTATGAGCAGAAATGCAAAAGGTGCACATGACAGGGCAGGCTTCACCGCCTTGCACCGGGCTGTTCAAACAAGCGGCCGACGCGGAGGAGAATCTCCGGCAGCCAACTGGGCTCGGCAGTCCGGGGTGGGCGCTTGACATATTCTTCGTTTAGCTTTTAAAACACTGCAGAAAGTAGTGTGCTTGTGCACGCTACTTTCACTGGCAGGATGAGAACGGCGGGGCGGAGCTTACAGCGTCCCACCTCCAGCGCGAACTGCTACACCTTCAATAACGCTTCGGCGTCGCGCGAGCCTGTCTGTAGCACGGCGAAAGGTAACGAGCACGGGCTGGATGGGGGCCAGTCACCTGAAAGAGGTTTCCTGTCGTTCTCACTCTGTCGGTCACCATGGGTATCTTAGGAGAAGCATATTCGAAGCCCCTTCAGTCTGCACCATTGACGCCACATTTTTTTGGCGGCCCAGACGCAGACGCAAGGGGAGACAAACGCAGCACTGAACGTCTCCTCGACCATCCCCTGCTGCTCGTCGTGAACCAGCGGCTCGGAAACGGACACCGGTGGATCTTGCCGCAGACCGTTCACACGGTGGGGGAGACCATGCGCCAGGTGAGACGTGTGCCTCCGTCCGTCGGCCGCTGCGACCCCCGACGAGATCGCGGCGGTATGCTGCCTTATATGGGTCTCCGACGGGTGCGTTTACCGCGTCCAAAGATGTGGTCCCCTGATTTCTGCCTCCGTCTCCACCTTGCTCTTTGTCGAGGCATGGGTTAATTAGGACACTAAACACACCAGTCGAAGAGGCGTTCTGGGCAGCATAGTAGCGGCAGGCGGTGCAAGGCCTGCTTCTTTTGCAGACGGCGGAGCGAGCTTTGGCGGAAGTCTGTGGCAGTGGCCTGGAGGTGCGGTTTCTCGGCAATGCTCCGGCCGGGTGCTACAAGTACCGCTATCCGGTGGAGTTCCGGAAAGACGGGATCGTGGGGGCAAAGGTGAGGGCTTGGCCTTCCGTTGGTGGCAAATCGTCCGACAGAGAAAGCAGGCAAGGTGTGGCGCGCCGTGCAAGGACTTCTCGAATGAGCAGTCTGGCTAGGAAATAACGTTTCTGCTTCTTCTAAAAAGATTCCTAGTTTCTTCCCCTCCACAACTTGGTAGTTCGGGAGGCTTTTAACCCTTTGGCGGTCGCTGTACACGTGCGGCAGCGGTTACACATTTGAAAGTGCCTGCCTAAACACTAAACCGTGTGCATCGTGGGAGGTGTTGATATTTGTCTTGTCTTTGGTGAACTACAAACGTTATGTTAGCACGGTGTTTCGTGTTTCGCTTTTCTGCGGCTAATTATAGTTTTGAAGTTAGACGCTCCTCACACGTTCGCTTGTCAGCTGCTCTCGCGGTAGTGGCAATCGGAGGGTCGGCTCTTCCGATTCAGACTTTTATTGCTCCTCCAAATTGAATTCCGAGTATGAGAGCTTTTAATCCGTTGAATAAGCTTTGTAAAGTACCTCCGGTTTGGAATCTGGAACCGCTGTGGAAGCAGACGTGCCAAAATGTAACTGAATGGAAGAGAGGTTACAACTTTTTGCCTTCAATATTTCCATTTAATGCTTTTAAACCTGAACAGGTTGCAAGCACTGTATGTGGTCTCACCAGATAATTAAGAAAAAAAGTGTGCATCGGCCTTTCCCTTATACCACTCCTTTGGAAACAAAGCCTGACCATTGGGAAACATCTTTTGAGAAAAAAAAAATCCGACCGTCTAAAGTAGTTTTTTTTACTGGGTCTTCTGTAATAACACTCGAGGAATCCTGAATGCTCTCTCCACTCTCTCGTTTGCTTATTTTCTCTCGTCCATTTGTTAGCCGTGTTTTATGTAATGAGTGATTATTTGCACGCCTGGCCTACCTCGAAACTGTGACAAGGTCATTGTATCCGTTATCTTTTTCTCTCCCCTGGGTTGCTGTATAGTGGGTGATTATTACAGGGAACCCATTTTGCTTAGCTAATATTGTCTAAAATGTCTTCACTTATGAAGGTATGCAGCTTTGGTGAACTTGCATGAACCGGGTAGGTGGTCAGTGCCGTCCCATATGCAAGTCTGGTTTCGAGAACCTACAAAATTATGACATTTTAGAAATGGAACAAAGGGAATTCCCACAACTAACAGAATTGCACCCATCCTCTCAGCACAGAAGTCCTGTTGGCTCAAATTGAAGTATGCGTTTTTTAAAGGGGGCTGTCATAATCAAATAGGCAACTAACAGAAGTATTGTGCATAGTTGTGCTCCAGAACTTTGCTCATCTGAAGGGAATTTAATGACGTGTGTTTTTGAGGTTTGCTTGCCTGAATCAATGTAAGTGAAAATGTTCCTATTTGGCACATAAGTATAGGGCTAAGATTTTCTGGTGTTTATGTATAAGAAAAGCCGGCAGATGTTCTTTTTTTTTTTTTTTATTGGTTTTCAATTATTGGTGTATTTTGGTGGCCTGTTTCGGACAAACTCAGAAAGTCGATTATCGGTGAAATAAAAATAATAAAAAAAAAAAAAGCTAACTGTTCAAGTCTAAGAGGGGACGATTTTGACAAAAGCAGTCCTAACTAAAGAAAATATTTCGAGAAATCGGTGCATTTTTCGTTTGAACCAATTTTGTATTTTTAACACCAACAAATATTTACTCTTTTTTTTTTTTTGGTTTCAACCGAGTTTGTATTTTGGATCTGACAGATGTTTGTCTGTGTGTTTTTCGGTCAAAACCGGAAGGCCTACTGCCTACACAAAGGGGATACCAAGACCTGTGCTGTCCTTGCCAAAAACAGTGGTTTGTTTTCGATTCTGTCACGCCTTACCGTTCCTAAGCGTCCATAACCTCCTTCACACCAGGTGTTCTTCTTCAAGGCTCAACTCCAGGGCGGATCGCTTTCGGCGGACTCCCTAAAGAAGCTCGACAGGGCCAGCGATTTCGAATGGCTAACCCAAACAGAGCTCGAATCAAGAATGCTGCCCAAGTACTGTCAGTCCGTCAAGTCGTTTCTCATGTCCACCGAAAAGATGGATTGTCAACACCTCTTGGACAAAATTCAATCATCGGTCAAACGAAGCAGCCGACACATCACTCCTGAGCTCGACACGAAAACTAAGGCCACGGAAGCTGTGAAAGCGAAGTGAAAGCTTCTTTTTTTATTAATATTACAGTCTCGTTAATATGTCTGGCTGTCTGTTTTGTCGTTGATTTGTACAAACGAAAAATGATACTTGGGCAGCGATATGCACCACATTGTATGCACGCAATCGGGTGCAATTGTCTGTGGTGTCTTCTGCAGTAAAGGCACAGGACGCTTCTAGGTTTGTGAAAAAGCAAACACTAACCAGATTTTTCTTTCAAATTTTGTACTATCATGCTACTTCTGAACTGCTCTAATCAACAGGATACAGCTCAGTAAATAAATAAGGATAGAGATGCATCCTCTATATTTCACTGTTTTGAACCACATTCAGCCCACATATCAACTCTACCAAGTTTGCCAGTGCAGCAGTCCTACTATCATTTCGACATCCGCAGACACTCATTGTGATGAACGATTTGACGAAGCAACGGGTAGTTTTAGTGGAACGTTCCGACACCGATACGATGCATCCGCAAGGCTGTCGGGGGAGCACCGTGTGTCGTCGGAGTCGTCGGAACAATCTGCTAAAACTCCCTAGTGGAGCCGTTTGCTCCATACGACGAAAAATTTGTTTGGAGTAGTAAATCTACAGGCTTTGTGGGCGAGCTGGGGAGGAGTGTTGGAGGGCAGGGTCAGTGGAACCGGAAATCGTCGACGTAGCAAACGCATCCGCTGGGGATGGGGAACAGCTCGATGCTGGGCTTCTGTCCCGGGTCGTACGGGTTGACGGCGATTAGCGGGAAGAGCATCTCGCGCTGCTTGCACGATGACTTGTAGCAGGGCACCATGTAGTCGCACGGCTTGCCCCGGTACCTGCGAGCGACAAACGGCCAAATCAAATTTTCCGTGTCCCCCAAAAAAACATTTACAAGGTTGGCTTTTTTTAACCAACAAAAATAAACTATAGTAGTTGACAGGTTCAAGGAAAGCTCCTCCCGGCTCTTTTCACTTTGACAGAGCGAAAGCTGGAAAGGAGGTCGCTTCCTCTCCAGCAATCGCTCTGCTAAAGTGGAAAGGTGTGGGAGTAGCCTCCACTTTACTCTCAACCTGTCAACAACTAGGCACGTGGGGAAGGCGCAAGCCTCGTCTTCCAGGTGGCATTGGTAAAAGTCGCACGTCATATCGTGAAAGACCCCAAGGGCTGCAGCCCTCGAGGGCACACTGACTTGCACTTTTCGACGCGCGTGACTTGCGGGAAGCGTTCGGTGTTGACGACGGTCAGCCAGAGGCCCTTCCAGTTCTTGGCCCAGCCGATGCGCAGGTAGACGGCCTCGGAGCGGCACACGAAGCTGCCGTGCTGCTTCTCCTGGGCAAAGGCCAGGGTGTAGTTCTCCACCCACTGCACCTCGTGCGGCGGCGTCTTGTACAGCGTGTGGTGCAGGTCGTACATCTGGTTGTAGTACCGGTCCACGATCGACTGCACCTTGTCTCTGGACGTCGGGGAGAAAAGGGGAATAAGGCAGGGGAAGAGGTTTAGGGAATGAGGGAAAGAAATCCCTTTCACTTGAGTCAGTCAAATTGTCAATTGCCTCTTCTCTAACTAGAAACGTCGTCAGTCTCAGCTCGTTTCTCGGTGACTGTCACATTTCCCGTTCCGCACACAATCGGCTCCTGCTAATGCCTTTTTCCTGCATAATTCAACAGCAATCAGGAAGAACTGAATCCTGTATTTACATTTTGCGGCCGCCAATGGCCCGCTAAGAACAGACCACCACCGTTTCGACGTCGCGCGTTGGATTCGGAGTCGGTGCCATGTGATATGGAGCAATTCCTTGGAAAACGCCCTCATCGAGGGACTCCGCTACAGGCTCCTCGAGAGAGTTGACCTGACATACTCTCGTTAGAGACTACAGTTCCCAATGCAGCCTCATTGGAACATAACCCCCCTTTTCCTTTCCTAGCAAAATACCGCTAGAAATCTATTATACCAAGAAATGTTTTTAAATTCAGAACGACCCAGCAGTTAAGAGGATCTCTTATTGCCGCATGAGAACTTCTAATGCAGATACGCATTGGAGCAAACTACACAATAGACGGTTTTCATATCCCCATCAAGCAACATTGTTGGCCGCCATTTCTTGGGCACGAAGCATGTGAGTAGTTTATTAGGTTCTTGTCCTCGCTGAATGCTGGCGCAGCCTTAGTGCCCAGTACATGCTCAGAGTGGCGCGCACTTTCGAAAAGGTTCTATTACCTCTGGGAAATAATAAAACATATCCAGTAAACTTTAAACTTATTAACTTTAAAGTTCGGGCTAGTTGGTGTTCAGACTTTGTCCTCGTCTTCGCGCCGTTTTCGTTTTTTATTACGTCTAATGTTAAGATAAGAATCACGCATCCTTCAAAGCGGTCCTAATGCTGCCCCTGTCAAGGGAAAAAAAAATAAACCACAAAGCTTTTTTTTTTTTTTTTTTGATGGAGCGCACGTGAACGCAAGCATCGCCCATGAAGAAAGGTTTCTGCACGTGCGCGCATACAGTATTCAGCTTTCGTGGGCCAACCATTGGCGTTATACAATCGGGGAACACAGACTCACATGGGGTAGTCGTGGTTGAAGACACACAAGTCCAAGTCCCTAGCACACGCCGGTCGCCCGTGGACAAAGCCCGAGGGTAATATGGAGGCCGCGGGCACCAGCGAAGTGGAGCCGTGCTTGCTCTTGGGGAAGTGGCCGTTGGTCCTCCCGCGGTCCCCTCCGGAGAAAGGGGACTCCTTGTGGTAGAGCACCACCACTCCGCCGGGGCCGCTGTGGTGGTGGGGAAACTCGGACCCGAGCGCTGAGCTCCGCAGCAGGACAAGCAGTAAGGCCGCCAACGGCCACTGCGTGAACCGTAGACCGTTCTAGAGTCTAGACCCTTCTAATAACCTGTGCGCCGCCATCTTTGTCTACGGGATGGTGGAACTCGTTTCGAGCATGCGCAGTAGCCTTAATAATAATAATAATAATAATAATAGGCTTATTTCTATCGATTATGATGAAAATAAGTGGTGGATTTTGAGCTTTCTTCCGCGGAATATCACATGCCGCGCACACGTTCACGGCGCGGTGACTCGACATTTTTTGCCTGGGTTGGAAACGGTGGAAAGGTGTTAAATGGGTCCTGCTTATCCGCACCGTATCTCAGTGATGTGATTACTGCACCAAAGCGCTTAGTCTGCTAGATCCATTTTGCCAAATTATGAGGAATTTGCACCGTGCACCAAAAGTCCATTTATCACTGCAATTTTGCAATCTAGTTTCAAACCTTTTCCTTTAATTTGTTTTTATTTTATCATTTGAGACTTTGGGACACAAAAAGTAGTGCAAACATATTTTGTAAAAGGTACTTTTATATCACCAATAACACACAGTTTTTATATCGAATCCGTGAGGGTCGAATTTAGACCTGGATCGTTTGGCGTGGGATGACCCAATTGATAATGTTTAAATAGGCTTAGATACAAGCTTTTATTTCATATGTTCCTATGTCTTCATAAATAATTGTACATCGAAAGCTAGCCCGATTCAAACTTGATCCATTGTTATCAAAGGTGCAAGATTCAAGAATTCGTATAAGGAAAACACTTCTAGGGAACTCAATCCTTCTATGCGAATTTTTAAAACAGTAAAAAGATTATCGTTATAAAAAATAAAGAAAAAGAAGCTAAACGTTGCAAAACTTTAAATCGTGTCACTCGTGAAATATGCAAAAATGGCAGGACCTACCTTTCACACTTTCAAAGCCCAAAACTAAAAAAAAAAAGGAGGTAGTTTTAATTTGCAGTTTTGTTCTAGTCTCACACGTTCCCTCCAACGTATATATATTTTCCAGAATTTTCTGGTGACCCGTCATGTTTTCTTGCGCCATTTGAGATGAAATCACCCTATGTACGTGGTTTCATTTCTGTCGAACACAGCTGTGGCAGGTTAGGTAACTTCGTGAAGTGTGCTTCTCACTTCACAGTCTACGTCTACTTCAGTGGAGCGTCAACCGTAAAATGGACATCTTCGCGATTTGGCGTGTTTTGCTTCGGTGCAGCGCACCTGCGTGCTAAAGGGAACACACTCTTCCAGAGCGGGAGGAGACACGTGATTTCTGAACGAAGTTGTGGCTATTATATGTATAATGGACTGCAGGCAAGTAGCCAGGAATTTGTTTCGGGGAAGGCCCGCCCATGACAAAATGCTGTATGAGGGGGAGGGGGGACAGGAGGTCCCAGCAAAATGGAAGATTTCGGGGGGGGGGGGGGGGGGGGGGGGGGGGGGGCTTATGGCCTTCCACTCTGGCTACGTGCCTGATGGACTGCAATATTCTGACGATATCTTCTTTAAATTTGAGATTTAGCGAGGAGAGTTGAGTGTTATTAAACGTTCTGTATGGACTGCTCTCTAGATTTATTTTGTAATGTCACTCTCTTGTTTAGTTATTATCTTTATATGTCTCCATAGCTTTGATGGCACAGCCGATAATGTAAATTAAAACTAAATTAGCTGTAGCAGTGGATGGAAGCTTAAGAACAGTCTCAGCGAGTTTGGCGGGATTGTTTTTTAAGGAGGCATATCTATCATTCACATTCCGATTTGGGTGATTCAATTATAAATATAAAATGTTATTAATGTTCATAGTCAAATACAAAAGCTTTTTTTTTAAATCTGATATAAGATTCTAGTTTTTTTTATAACCTTTAGAGTTTTAACAAAGCATCAATTTGCGTGCTCTAAAATATTATATTTGAACATTATTTCAGTGGAATATACAATTTGCTTTACCCTTGGTTTCGTACGGGAAATAACTGCATCGCAGTTCATACTGTCCTTCGTCAATCAGCATCTTGTTGCCGTGTTTTGTGCTTCTGCGCACAACTAAGCTGCTTGTCTTGTGTTCGAGGGAATCAAACCTGCCGTGCAGTTGACACTATACAGAAGGTTTCACAGAAGTGGGAAGGCAATTAAAGGAGACTTTAACTAACTCATCATGCATAACCAACTCCCCAAGCAGCACAGAGTTGGCCAATCATTGGCCAATGACTGGCAATGGTCCTTTGGCCAGTGGCCAGACAGCGGCCAGAAATTGGCCAATGATTGGCAGTTCTCTCGCCATTGGCCAATGGCCACTGGCCATCAGGCATCGGCCAAGCATTGGCCGATGAATGGCCACTCTTTGGCCTCTGGCCAAAAGACCATCACCAGCCATTGGCCATTGCTTCGCCAAAATCTGTGCTGCTTGGGCGCCTGCATCGATACGTTCGGCCTTTAAGTTCGACAGGCCATCTTAACATAATATTCGCAGCGGTATGAATGAAAATTAAGTGTGTGCTTAAGCTCCGAAAGTTATTTTTCCTGTTCCAAAATAGACTTGTGGCTGCTCCAAAAATACTCCGACCAATCTCTTCCTTGGTATCTGCAGTATGTGCATGCGCTCGTGCTCGGAATAGGTGAGAAAAAAGTGTACTTGTGTATGCATCCTTCCAGAGATAATCGCCACTCAACGGCGGACCGACTTCCGTGGTACGTAAACGACGGTTTTCCCTCCTTCCTTGAGGTCTTCGTATCAAAGTCGATCCCTGGCAGCACACGTGGCACTGCAGATAGCCTCAAATCAAGATCTTAACGTCCGCTGGATATCCTGTGGACATGAATATGCTGTCTGTGCCGCCTGGCACATATATCCTGCAGCATGTGCCACGTTTACATGCAACTATCTCCTTTTAGCTCCTAGCCTCGGGTTTTAAAAACCGAAGTGCGGTGGGGCGCACGTCGGTAATTACCAGATTTAGAAATGGCGGCTAAACTCCGCGGAATTGAGTCTGGCCCATCGTGGTCTAGTCCATGGGCTCTAAAGTTGGTGTCATAATGAGAGGCTTGACTGCCTATAGCAAGTACCTTTCCTCGCAAATACCGTATTTGCTCGAGTAATAGTCGCACTTCTTTTAAACAAGGCTCTTGCGTCTACTTTCCTGCAGAACGCACTACAACCAATCATCGCGCCCTAAAGAAAACACAAAAAAAAAAAAAAAACACAAAAAACAAAAGACACGGCGAATAACGAGGTCGAGAACACGATTATTCGTAAAAATGCGATCTGAGCAGATAGCATTTTCGCGTGAAGACGTTATCTCTGTCCCGTGAATCGCTGCCATTTTTCTGCCAAACGCGGTGATTCGCGCTCCCCGTGCTTCGCGGGAAAGCATACCCACGGAGTTTGTTCATAAACATCGCGGATGTTACTCGAGCAAATACAGTACTTGTCTTCTCAAATTGTTAAGCATTAAACATTTAAAGGAAGAAATAATTTGATACGTACGTTTAGGGATACCTAAATGTAAATGTAAATAATGTAAACATGTAGAATCAGCACGCTCATCCTGGATTTGAAATAGTTCAGCTGGATGGGTAGTCTTTTAACTATTCGGCACCAGAAAACTTAAAAAATCGTAAATACAATTTTTTTTTGTGCGCTTATTATTATAATACAGAACCGGTACCGGTGTCAGTCGATATTTTAGTCTGTCCAACTGATTACATCGTTGCGCCTATAGTCAGTTGCAGGTTAAGAAAAGTTCGCGAGGGAAAGGAAGGCTGGGAAGGAGGAAGCAGACGGAACGCTGAAGAGAGGAGGGGGTTTCCCCCTCTCCTCTCTAGCATTTCGTTTGCTTCCTCCTCCCCCAGCCCTCCTTCCCCTCGAAAACCTTTCTTAACCTGTAACTGAATATAGGAGATGAGAGGAGCATGCGGCATAGTCTCTTTCCTATTATGCTACAACCGGTTGCGTGATAAGGGCTGTCCAAACGAAACAAGCCTCCTGCTGTACACTAAAAGAAAAAAAAAAAAAAACGCTCAAATTTTTAGGAAATGAATGTTCGGCGCTGGCGTCCGTTTTCACTAAGGACACCGATTAATGCAAATAACTATACTTACGTGGTAAAAAAATAAATATAATAATAATAATAAACGTCTTAAAGCGGACCGGGGTGGTCCGCTTAAACCTCCGTCCAGTGGATGTTGTGCACAGCAGAAAGCGTGTCCCGTGTGGACCGCCCTTTAGGCTGCTCAAACCGAGAAGCTAAAGGAAAACCCATCCGGGACACCCGAAGAAATGCCCGCGCGTCTACTTTCCCACGTGACACTCTAGGAACCAATCGCTGCAATGCACGGAGAGAGCTCGGCAAATGACGAAGACGAAGATGGAACACGTAAAGGCTTCTTCACGCACGTTTGCTTGATTATACGACTGACTGAGACAAGACCGGCTTTGAAGCCTCTTGCGACGGCGTACGATCGTATGCGCAACGATGCACTCGCTCGTATGCCGTCACAAGAGGTTTAAAAAGCGGCCTTGTGTCTCAGTCGGTCGCAGTCAAATGCAAGAGTGTGAACGGGCCTTAAGCATGCCGTTTCACATTGTTCCATGGCCATAGGTTCACAAGCGCATCGAATCGAGAGGGAACAAATCAAGCGCACCCAGTCCTCCTCTCTCTTCGTCTTCTACCCAATTATTTGTTGTTAAATTTCCATTCGATGCGTCCTACGGTAGCAAAAAGCAGACGCTGTCCCATATGGCAGACTTCAGTTCTCGTTCTGAACATATTTTTTTCGTCTTGTCATTCGCCAAGTCTCCTCCTTAGATTGCCACGATTGGCTTATCTCCCAGTTCCGTGCGGGTAAGCCGACGCACGGACTTCATTAAGGTGAAAGCCTTAAATGTCTCGTCGTTCCGCCCTTGAGCGAAAACGCGTCGGCGACACGAAAGGTACCAAAACCCACGGTTCGCCACTGGACCACGAGATGGCGTTACTTGTGCCAGAATCGGTGGAGGCGCGCGCGCGGCGCAAACCCAGCG